CTGCAATGCAAATTCTGTAGTTTTCTCCAGTCATTCGAAGATCAGGTCATATCAATTCATATGTGAAAGTCTCTGGTGAACCTGCACAAAACTGGTATCTATCAATGCATCACATACGGTAAACTGTGTTACAAATACTCTATGTTTGCATTTCAGCAAAATGCTTTAGAAAAAGTCTTGCTCCAGAAGAAAAAAGCTTGGATTTGTTAGGCAGTGTATATGAGTTGTTTAACTACCTACCTTTAATATCTCCACCAGGCCTTCAAAGACAGCACAGAGATGTAGAAAAAAAGGTTATACCAGAAATAAGGAGCTCATTGCACTGTATATGGTCTGTTAGACGTAAGAATCACTCACTCTGACTTGTAGAGAAATGAGCAGAAGGAGTGGGTGTCTACGTGGGTGTCTAATTTATCAGGACAAGTGGGGCTCTAAAAGCATCCTGATTTCTCTTTAAAAAAAAAATATTACCTATCTTCAGTGCAAGGAAGAGGCAATAAATCACAGGGGAAAATGCAAAAATTGATTCTGCTAGGTCAAAATCTTCTGTTTATTTCCGTTATTGTTATTTCTTTGCCAAAAGCAACATTTTCTGTGACAGAAAATGCCCAAATACACTCTGGTGTGCAGTGCCTAAAATCTCACTGAAAAAATAGATGTTACACACATAGGAAAGTCAGAACTGAAAGAACTTACTTCTGATTGCTGACCCCAAATCCCACATCTTTCTTGAGAGCACCATATATAAACTTCAGTTTCTAAAGACAAGTTCAAAATCTGCTATCTTCATCTTCTTCACTCAGTAAATTGTTCATCAGCAAAAGCTTTTCAAAGCTAATCCACTACTCAACCCAAAGTGTTACCTGCAGGAACTGAATTAGAGATAGGTCTCTAATAGATCTCCTGGCATTTCCATGGTGTGAATGGCCTGGGATCATAAAACAGTCCTCGGACTTAACACTGTATGTGTAGTCCCATAATTAAATTATAGTTGTGGAGATGGCCTGGAACATCCTGCCTGTCAAACCAAATGAAAGAGAACAGACAGTAAAGTGGAAGAAATCAAAAGTAGTGAAGTAGATTGTGATTGTCATCTATCTACATGGATGCTGGATAATTTTAATTGTAGAGATACAGTTGCTACACTCTGATCAGATTTTTGCCTTACTGGTGAACTCATTTTTCAGAACTGGCACTGCTGGGCATCACAGGCCAAGAGTTCATGCTATGAGTGAGTGGAGACCATCTAATCTGCAGAATATTTTAGCAACTCAATTACAATGTAAGAGCATTACATTTTAAAATTACTTCTCTGTCAGTTGAACATCAGGCTATTAAAAGTAGTACAAGAGACAGAAGTTAAAGAACACCCTTTTAAACTACTCTACTTTCCTATTTTTGGAGAAGCATTTCTTTATTATCCTGAAATACCACAAGCAGTAATAATTTATCTGTTCTCCATTGTAATCATGACATTACAATAAAATAGTGTCCAATTAATATGCTCTTTAATGATTCCTTCTAGAAAGACAGTCATGGCAATAATGATGTATCATGTAAGGGCAGATAATTTTAATAACTTGAAAGAATACACTGAGGATCTCTCTACATTGCTAACTTCAGATTTAATACTTATTCTGGGCTGAACTGAGAGATTCATGGAGAACAACTGCTGCTAACAGGAAATTATGCATTCCCTAGACACCTGTCTGCAGTGTCTTTCACAAGCAAGGAGAGAGCCACAGCTTTCTGTTATGCTGATGAGAGTAAATCCAAATGACCCAACCTAGAGAGTGCAAAAAGAAGATAAAGTGATTATAACTGACTGAAACTTGGGGTCTGGCTTCTATTTTTGTATTTAAAAATATATTCCCAATTAAAACAAAACAAAGGAAATAGAAAAAAATTGTTTAGGAAAAAAATTAAAATATATCTTATTTAGGGGTAACACAATAGATTTTTTTTTCCCCTTCAATCATGCTGATACTGCAGAAACTCCCAGTGATACTTGATTTTGCTACACAAAAAACATGGAAATTCTAGGTCACCAGAAGCCTGCTTCCTTGCTTCACATCTATTCTTTCGATCACACTTTCTGAGACATCTCTACAGCACCTTCACATTCAGTGTAAGGAGAATTGTTCTTTGAGAATTGAATGTAAGGAGAAGTGTTCTTTCCAACAGATCTTCTTTGCCATTTTCTCCTCCCCATTGTGGATGCCCCTCCAAACCATCACTTTTCATTTCCTTGAGCTGTGGAAGTTCACAATAGTTCAAACACCTTTGCACATCTTCCCTTGCTGTGTAAAACTATGTCTTTGTAATTAATAAATGTGACTTGGAAATAGTTGTAGAAGAGACTCTGAGACACTCCCCTAGGAGCAGGTTGCTGATGACAGAATCTTCTATTTACTCTTCAAGGAAAAGCCTATATAAAATCTTGCTCTTTTAATACACACTTTTTATAAACACATTACGTGCTTATTACACTGACTCTGAACCACACATCAACAGGTCCACAAGTCCCAAAAGCAGCCAGGTCTGCAGCAGAGTGACACAAACCAAAGGCCACAATCTCACAAGAAGTATCTGCAGACTAAGGAAGTAGTTCACTAATTTCAATTTCCATTTCAAACACAAAGAGGATCTTTTGGATTTGAAATGAGACTCTTCATTCATTAAAAGATATCTAACTGGAGACACAAAAAAAGCAAACTGTGTCCAGCCACAAGGCACTTATGGTTTATCCTACCCTATTTATATCTCATGCTGAGGGATGTATTCGATAGACTGAATCCACATTTGTTCCTTGCATTCCTTCTTGCAGCTGAGAAGATGCAAAGAATCATAAAAGGTTTCATTGTTGCAATGTTTTGTCATGGTATGTGTAATCAGCACAGACCCCATTAAAGAGGCTTTGGAAGGTGAGAAGTTTAAATATTTAATGTTTTTCTGCCTATGATAAGTTTAATAATTAATGCTGCTCCTACCTTGGAAATGACAAATCACACAACAAGCATGCACAATAAAAGAAACAAACAGAGCTAATAGAGAAGAAAACCTTACTTAGAAGGTAGTAATTAAAAATGTCTGTAGCATACCTCAGGATCCCGAAATACTTTGCTCCTGACCCAAAGAGCAGTTCTGTCTATCTATTAAGCTACCTAATTTTGGGGGAGATGCAGAAGATGAGGGATAATTGCTAGTCTTTACCTTACACACATGAGAAATGATCTACAGGTTATGAGGCAAACTGTCTTAAAGATTTCTCTACCCCTAGGAGAGAAAAGGAAGAATGTGAAAGCTGTTGTCCCTTCATGTTCTGCATAGAGGAGCCAGCCATTGAACTATTACAGAAATAATAAGTTCACAACAGAGAGAACAAGATTAGATCTGTATCTGGTCTAAACAGTGTCATAGCTGCTCCAGCTCCAAGAGGTATCTACAAATACCAGTTCCTGACACCCTCTGAATAATCCATTTTATAAGACACTACTACTAGTACATTTCTCTGAGTACATGCTCCTACACATCCACTCCCACTGATGATCTGCAGGTATATGCAACCTTCAACCCCCACTGACTTGTAGCTGAAAGAAAATTCATCTCACGCACTGCTGTGCTTTACTGCTGGACCACGCTTATGTAAATGCAACAGAATTAACACTGAAGGAGAGCACAAAGCATGACTAATAAATTCTTCTTCTGTGATTCACTCAGTTTTGATATATTTTCAAATTATTAGCATTAGAAGTCTGTCAGACAGAGGGCAAGCACTCTGATACAGACATTGCCACTATATCCTTCTTTCAGGGTAGAAATCATTTTCCCTAAACCCAGGTATGAGATAATCATATTGTGGGTGAAACAGGTATATCTAGAAAGTGACTCATCTCACCTTCAGAAATGCCTAAAACAGGTCAGGTGACTCATTCCCACCTTCTGAAATCAAGAGCCCAGTGTGACTATTTCAGACTGAGAGAGGTGACACCTTGTAGACATGTCAGTGGCACATCTACATTAGGGCACAGTCAGTAGAGCCAGGGCACGAACACCGCTGCTCAGTGCCAGCTGCTAGAGCTCTGACACCCTTCTGGCTTGCTCCTCCTAGCTGTATCTTGAGCAATTCTTGATTGCAGGACCTTGCTCAACAGCTAATCTGGATGCAGCCACTCCATTCTGGAGATGATTGTAGTTCACAGAATCAGAGATTGGTTTGGGTTGGAAAGAAGCTTAAAAATCATATAGTTCCAACCCCTCTGCTGTGGGCAGGGACACCTTCAACTAGATCAGGTTTCTCAGAGCTCCATCCAACCTGATCTTGAACACTTCGAGGGCCATCAAAAGCTTCTCTGGGCAACCTGTTCCAGTGCCTCACCACCCTCACAGTAAAGAATTTCTTCCTTATACATAATCTGAATATACCCTACTTCAGTTTGAAGGCATTCCCCCTTGTCGTATCATTACAAGCCCTTGTAAAAAGTCCCTCTCCATCTTTCCTGTAGGCCCCTCTAGGTACTGGAAGGTGCTATAGTTGAATAACTCAGACATGGTCAGACTGCCAGCTGACATCAGCATCAGAGAAAGGTACTGCCATGGCGTTGCTACATAGGACAGGTGACGCTTTCAAGAAATAAGATGTTTTAACACATCAACACTTTGCTACAAAACAAGTATTTTTATTTTATTCATAGTCTAGACTTTTTGCTTGAAAATCTTTTCTTAGAGTGGGCTTTGAGAATTTAGTATGAGAAGATAAATTAAGTTTTTGACAGTAGACAGTATACAACTATGTTTAAAAGTCATGTCTTTCCTAAGCTCGATCTTTTGCAATAAAACTAGGTTAGGGTAAACAAGTGCTCACACATGCTCCTGGAAAACCAGGTCAGATACATCAGCGACAGTCTACAGCTTTTTAAAGTCACTCACACTCAGAAAACCATAAAAATGTTACATTTTCCAAAGAACACTTCATTAATGTAATATCCTTCAAACTCTTATCCAAAGTTTTTGCTTCTTTGTCAATGGAGCATAGTAGAGTATCGCTGCAGCATAACCACAGCCAGGGGATTCAGCTGAAACTCCCTGAAGCCTCCTCAGTGATGCAATGATTTGTGAAGGTCACAGGGTAGTGTTCACTCTGGGCTCTATACCCATTCTGACTTCTTTGACCTCAAGCAACTAGTATTGCTATAATTTGATTGTGCATCAAGGTTTTTTAGCTCAGCTGAAGGGTAGAATTCTAAAATGTTGCTCTGAACTGCAGAGGAAGAAACTCCAAGGTGACAGTTGATCTGAGGTCTCAAAACCAGGGCAGTCTCTTCAACGAAGTCTTGCTGAAATCTCGGTCTCACTTGCCTGCATGTAGTTCCTTGCTGGTCACTAGCACACAAGGGTTCTTCAGTGCTATCTTGCTTAACAGCAAGATCTCCTGATACACAGCACTTGTTGCTGGTGCTGTTAAGGTTAGGGCTGGCAGTTTGCTGAGGGACAGCTTCAGAATGAAGAACAGCCTCTTCTTCCTCATCAGAGAGAAGTGAGCAGCAGCCATCACTGGTCTGGCAGCTATTTGATACTGGGCAGTCTTCATTTTGAGGTGGAGAAGAGCTGCTGTGCTGTAGTGGGGGAAGATTTAAAATGCACTCCTTCTCTATGCAGAGGTTTGCCAGCAGCTTGTTCTTTTGGCTTCTTGCTGTCATTCTCCGGAGAGCACAGACAAGATCTGCAAGGCTGAGCACAAAGGACAGGCTGCTGACTCCCCAGATGAAAATCATCATGATGGATTTCTCAGTGGGCCGGGAGATATAACAGTCAACTGTGCTTGTGCAAGGTGAATGGTAGCAGGAAAAGCGCTCAGGAACAAAGAATCCAAAAAGAAAATACTGCGCAGCTGCAAAGGCAGCCTCAAGTAGGGTCCTAAAACAGAGATGAACAGTATATGCCCCAGAAAAATTAAGGACACTTAGGTTCTCTTCATCACACTCTACTCTATTGACAACAGCATTTCTACAGAGCTCCTTCATGTCTTTGGGGCTTGATAAACTCTTATTTCCTTTGCATCCATGCACCAGACAGTGCATTCTTACAAGGTACATAGCTACCTTGTGCAAAACATAAATGCTGAATGCAGCATAAGGTAGTAGGATGGACACAGTCTGAATGAGCCAGAATCTGAAGTGAGATACGGGAGAGAACAAGTCATAGCAAACGTTGGAGCATCCTGGTTGCAAGGTGTTGCAGACAAAGCGCTCCTGCTCATCTTGGTAGAGGGGATAGCCTGCCAACACTACCACTGCCATTCGCAGCAGAATTATTAACATTAGCCAGATCTTTCCTAGAAGAGAAGAAATGGTATGAAAAAGAGTCAGAGCACTGAAAAGGAAGGCAGGTAATGTAGTGATGCTCTTTCTATACACAAGATATTTGAAGAAATAGCCTCTGTAATCAGTCTCCCATCTTAGTAGATCCTCTTTGGCTTTGTTTTGACTGAGACTGAAAAACATGTGAAAGTGTGTAGCTGACATATTCAATAATCTTCATCTTGACTTCACAATGTAGGAGTTTAACATACAATAAGCCATGTCAACCAAAACCTAATGAAAACACTCTGAACATGTCCAAATCTGATAAAAAAAATTCAAAATTGAGTTAACAATTTCGCTTAAAATTTTTCACTTGCTGTTGGGTTCCTACCCCTGCACTTGAATCTTTTCCTATTTCAATAATATAGGTCAGCTAAGACAGTGTGAAACTCATCTAGATACAAAAGACTGTTCTTGGTCTTGGCCATGAAATTGCATGTAAAGTTTACTACGGCCAACAAAATCTCTCTGTATGGTATTTACTAGCAAGTTAATAATAAGTTATTATTATTTTTATTATTAGCAAACTCATGCAAAATGTTCTACAAATGTACATTTGTGTGTGCACAAGTGTACCCCAGTCATCTCCCTCTATTGCTTCTTTGGTTGCCCCATCTTCATCATGTCTTCCAACCTTCATTCACCTTGGTGTGCAGCTTTTCTCCATTCAGACCAAAAGCTCCCTTCTGTCTTGATATTGACACCAAGTGAAGTCTCACAAGTTCAGCATTTTCATACATTGCTTACTTCACCTTTCCCTGAATTCTCTCATGTAATTGCTGTGGTAGGGCTTAGTCTCACCCAGCTTTGGTTGGAAAGATCAGGCCTTATCCTTATTCCATTACACTAAGAGCAGTGAAAGATCAGGCGTTAGTACAGTACTTATCATACCTTTTGAACAAGACCGTATTATTCATGATAGTTTCTTGGAGGATATTTGGATGGGGTAGGTCTTTCTTAATTTTTTTTTTTGTAAACTTACAAACACTGCTATATTACTGACAAAGTTATTTAATTTAAAAAAAGAGAAGGGGAGGGAAGGGGAGGGGACAGAAAGAAAAAAAGAAAAGAAAAGAAAAGAAAAGAAAAGAAAAGAAAAGAAAAGAAAAGAAAAGAAAAGAAAAGAAAAGAAAAGAAAAGAAAAGAAAAGAAAAGAACCAAAAATCCATGTCAGGGGGGTTGGAACTAGATGATCTTTAAGGTCCTTTCCAGCCCAAACTGTTCTATGATTCAATGAAAATCTAAATTCTTTTCCTGGGCAGGATAGGAAGGCATAAATATATACTGTTGTATTGTCAAAGCCTAAAAATACATTCTGTACAAACACATAGAAAAATTCAACATCTGAAGTTAAGTTTAAGTTTCCTTTTGAGTCCTGTCACTAGTTACCTACATACTTTTGAAAAAGGAAAAAAGTCCCCTTGGGAAAAAAAAAAAGAGGAAAAAAACCAACAGAGTGATAAGATTAAGCGTGTACTTTAAAGAATGGTTAAGACAACATTTGTAACCACAGGCAGACAAACAGCAAATTCAGTGACTAAAGAGAAGCATATTATATGGAATTAATGGCTGAGAAATGCACTGAAAACTTCAAGTCATTAATAGTGAATGCACATCTCACATGTACACAAGGTTTTGAAGGCAGTCTGTGAAATAGCACCAAATACACACTATAAAGACTTTTTAAAAATCCAGATCACAAAGCCTTTTACCTATAAAATATAGAATTATTTGTAGGTATTGTCTTGAAGAATTTTCTTTTGTATTTCCCATGCAGCTATTTCCCAATAGTTGGTGTAAATTTTAAATATTCAGATATATCCACAAAATTGTGTGATACCTATTATTGTACTGAACATATAGTTCAAGTGCCCCACAAAAAACATTTGTGGCCAGTAGACTAATTATGGTCTAGAACAGTAAGACTGTAATGGAAAACCAGCTGGAAAAAGGTTAAGGATATATAAGGTTTATGAGGGATCATCAGAGAAACCTGACGTGCTTGGCAAAATAATATATTATCTAACCATAAATAAATTGAGGCCTTTTCCATTTTATCTTTAATTACATGAACCTCAGTGGTGGTTTTGCCGTGTTTCCAGCTTCCTGCGTTTTGCTGGCAGGATGTGCTGTTGCTCACTTTTCGACATAGTGTGGGTCAATAGAAAACACCAGCTCTCCAGAATCAGGAAGCCATGTTTCATCCTTAGGTAGCACTTTTTCCCTACGAGGACCTCAAAGTGTTTGAAGCACATTAGTTAATTAAGCTCAAAATACTACATGCTATTTCACTATCAATTTTTAATTAGAACATGTACAAGAGGGAGTGCTGCTTAAGAAAAATCAATGGCTCCTTAGGAAGTAGTTTAGTATGACATACATTTGAGAGATAACCCCTCCACGCATCACCTTCCCTAAAGACTCAATCTTGATTAAACATACAAGAACAAGCCCCTCCGCTGCCCCTGCGGGGACTTAGTTGGATGTTCCCTGCAATGCACAACACAAACTACAACTACTGGCCACAGCTGGAGGCTGAGGGTCTTTGAAAGGCCCTTGAAAGTTTTTCTCTGGCACATACTTTGCTCAAAGTAGCCCAATAAAGAGGAACAGCACCCTACTTATATAAGAAGGGTAAAAAAAAAAATAAACGGTCAACTGTTAGCTAAGGAAAAAAAACAACTGTATTTTGCTTTGTTTTGCCTTTTTTTTAAAATGCATATGATCTTTATTTGTTTATAAAGAATAAAGTGTTGGTAATTAACCACAAGAGTAGTAAACCACAAACCTCTCCCTGTAGAAGAGAGGAGGTTTTTTCCCTTCTTTCAATTATTTTAATCCATCACTAAAGCTATTGCATATATTTTACCATTCACTTTATGTGGTATAAGGTGTTACTTCTGTCTGTTTTCACCATGATCCCTACTTCCTGATGACTGGAAGCTCTGGTATCAAGAAGATGCCAGAATATTTTGCATAAAGTTCAGGAAATATCTATCAGAGAGGGAGCAGTAATCTGTTTAACAAGAAAAGAAATACATTAACCTCTTAGGTATCAAGATAACAACTTACTCTAAGAATCAAAGAACCATAGCTAGAAATTAAAGTTGATTATCAGTAGGACAATTGGGTGGCTTCAGGATATGAAGCAGCAAAAGAAAGAAGATATCTCTTTTAAAGTACTTACCTACAACAGTCACATTATAGTTAAGTGTGACAATCAAAAATCCCAGCGAGTCCCAGCGCTCCATGTTCGAACAGGCTCAGAACACTCCCAGCTCCTGATGTCCTAACAATTTTGTCATTTCCAAAGGAGGCTAGAACTAGACAGGGAAGAAAGAGGGGGAGGAAAAGAGGAAGAAGGAAAAAAAAAAAGGAAGGAATTTTTGTTAAGGATCAAAGATGGAAATCAGAAACCCAGCCACAACAATGTATCGATGAAGGATTATTTTGATGATTTGAACAGGACTGTTAGATTTGAATGTTGGAGTATATCTTCTTAAGGCTTTAACAGTTTGTCTTGCAAAAGCTCTAGCTTGTCAGATGCAATTGCTCCTACCTCTTGTGTGGATCCTCTGTCCAGACAACTGCAAGTAGACAAACAACAACAGGAGTGATCTCTGCCATTGTAGACTATTCTTACCCTCCTGGGGCATACCAGCCTCTTGGCATTGCTGAGATATTTCAGTGGTGAAAGACAGGGAGAGAGGAAAAAATAGCATAGACCAGGAAATAACGGAGACTTCTCTGTCTCCCCACAAGAATTGCCGATGAATAATGGAAGGAAAAGGGGTAGAAAAGGGTGAGCATCCCTGTGTTTGAAAGGCAATTTCAGTTCACTGAAAGCTATCCCATTGCAATTTCCCAAAACCATTTTGTTTCTAAATCACAGCCTTCCTGACAGAACACCATGGCCCTGTCAATCAGAGCCACACCAAATTTTCCTCTGTGTGCTGATCTAGGCAACAGGCTGAGCCTCCCTGCTGGCACGACATAATACAGGGGAAGCTTTAAAAAAATAAACCCAAGGGTGTGGCTGGTTTTCAAGATGCCTCAAGTTGCTTACTTTTAATTTATATCAGTTCTTTCTGCTGAAACTGCTTGGTACTCTGGACATCACTCAAAAGATCCTAGGGCTACCTGACCAGCATTCTGAAACCCCAGCACCCCTCAGCAGTGATGGAGCTTCCCCCTTGGAGCAGGATGCCTGCGGGGTCAGCAGTCCTTGAGTGCAAGGTGCAACTCCACAGCATGTCCTTGACACTTTGTGACTGTGCTGTACACCAGGGAAAAAGCAGGGATGAAATAAGACTCTCAGCTTTTCTTTACTCACCCCACTGCACCAAATTCCCTTGGGGAAAGTTATCTACCACCATCTTCCACTAGCTGTGGGATTGTTCCACTAACTATGGGATGTTACTCTGTCCTTTTTAATCTGTGCTGTGAGAGGGGCAAACATAATGTGGACACTTAGTCAGGAAATAGTATCAGTCACTAGAAAAACAGCTGAAGAACGAGTCTGTGTGTGATACAGCAAGGGAGAAAAGTGATGTCATGACATGCTGACACCTGTAGGGTGCCGATAGCTCAGGCACAGGCAAGGTGAGTTGGCTCAGAGCAAGGTGTATGGTGATACTGCATGACTTATGGGCTCTGTGACTAGGCTAAGCTTTATAACTGATCACATCTTACCTGGATAAAAGGTAAAACTAATAGTTTAATGAAGTAAAATATATCTGTACAAAGACCTTCTCCCCAGCTCTCTGCTCACAGACCTTGCAAAGCCTTGGCAGAACACACTGAGGATCCTTTCTGTAGTAAGCCCCATCCCAAGGAAAGCCTAAAAGTGGGATGTGAAAGGATGGCCCTTAAAAACACTTTATCCATTATCTGTGTAAAGAGATTTTTAATTGCAGTAGTAAAAAAAAAAAAGAGTTTTCTTGGTTTCAGAATTGATTTATGCAAAATATTTGCCAACCAACCATTTCTTCTGTTACCAAGTTTTATTTATGGTGCTTGATGATGGCTTTAGCTTCACTTCCCCTCACACACACCCCCAACTCACCCTTTTTTTTATTTTTTCCTTTTTTTTGTGTTCCCTCCTGAGATATGTGTGTGTGAGGAGTATGGGAAGAAGGGAAAGCTGTAGGAAAGGAAAGAGAAAAGACGCAAATGGACAAGATATAAATTATCCTGAGATACGAAGGTATTCCTGGTTAAACATCCTTTGTCAAAAATAAAGTCAGGAATGCCAAGATGGTGGCAGGATATGAATGCTCAGCAGCTGCATCCACACAATAGACTATAAATTGTCTCTGACAATATTGCCAGTTAAAATATCCTTGCTCGTTGTTGCTGTGAGACCTCTACCATTTGTGTAACAGGGATAACAGTTAGGAATTTAAGCCTCCAAACTGTTGCCTGTGGAACTATACCAGTCAAAAACATCTGATATCCCATGGCATGGATGTCCTGAGATAGGATGGCCCATTTTCTTCTAAAAGAAAGCAAGAACCTTTCAGACTCACAGTGCAGCCCTAGCTTGAAAGCCTGAATTCTATTTTAGCTTTTCCAGACAACTTTAGCCTTTTTCTTTTAGCTTTTCTAGATAGCTCATATCTTACTTGAATCCAAAATTTCTCCTTTCTATGGTGTGTCCTCTACCCAAGTCCCTGTCATCAGCCCCAACTTGGGGCTCCAGGCAGATGTGGTTGTTATAAAATGTTTGGTCTCCACAAAACAACAGGTTTTAGTTTCTTCATCCCTTGGCTCAGCACTATCTTTCAGTTCCCATCTGAAGATATTCACCATACAATTCCCCTTGTTTACTATTTATCTGTAGCTGTTCCCTGTAGTCCATTTGTCTGTAAAGACTGTAAGGAAATAGGGAGAGCAATATTACAGACATGGATGAAATAGCAGAGGGACTCCAGCTCCACAGTGCCACCAGTTGGTTTGGCACCATCTTCCACATCAGAGGACAGGCACGTGTTGCACAGCCCCATCCCTCCACCCATACTCCAATACTAGAATCTCACAGACAACTCTTCCCAGGCTTTAAAATTGTCAAACGTGTGAACTTCCACCAGATTCTAATTAAACAAAGAGAGGCAGGTAGAAAACACTGAAACGGTTTTGGGTAAAGTTAAACTTTGAAATCCAGCAGTATCTTATCATATCTGAATTTAGGAGGAGCCCTAAAAGCCACTGGAAAGATTCCAGAGACCAACAACGAAACATAAGAAGATGCAATTAAATCTATTTTAAAATTCACAACCGCTGTCCACATTTCTGACCCCTTAACACAGATCTAAGGCTTGATCCTGCAAAAATTTAACAGGTGTGATTCTATGATTGTGAACGACCCACTGAAACATTCTGAACTGCTGGAACTGCACCTCACTGCAGTGTGGACCTCTGTCACACCCCTAAGCTTAGGCCTGCCTTACTTGGCACAAAGCCCAGCAAAGACACTTCAGCTAGACTTTGGCTCAGAATGATATCCAGAGGTAAGGTACAACCAGCTTGAAGCCTCTTCAGGGCTTCCCAATCCAGGATCAAATCAGTCACCTGAAGGATTCCACAATCTACATCACACATAAAAAAACCCCCAGAAACTAGAGGTAGTCCTCTGGCATAGCAAATCCCAACCACATCTGTCTTATCCAGCCAATACCTACAATAATGACACAAGTGGGAGTTACTAAGGGAGACTGCACCCTACAAAGCAACTGACAATGAAGCAACCTCCCTCTTCCAGTTTAATTAATGTTGAGGCAAAACGGGCCAGCATAGCAGCTTCCCTTATACAGAAAGGGATCTGACATTTTAGTCCAGGTTCTTTAGCAGATTATTATTTAAGAAATAAAAAACATAGATGCATATCTAATATTTTAGAGTCTATTTTTATAATCTATTTAGAATTTTTCTAACTAGAAAAATTAGTGATGTACTAGTAAATGATGTATTATTGACAAATCTTGTAGTAAAACTAGGTCTTCTGAAGGTGATCTGTAAATTTGTTGGGGGGGGGGGAATCTATTTGCAAGGGACAGTAAACAGTAAATGGCAATTTATCTTGATGGCCTTATTTTTAAAATTAGAGAAATACAGTAGAAGGGGGAGAGAAAGAAACAAGCTGGACATGAAGGATAGAGAAGTAGTAGGAAAAGCTGTCCAGAATAAATGCTCTTTTTAAGACACATAGTACATACACCTGTCAGTCTTCAGAGCACACAAATAGTGAAGGAGCCAGCACAGCATGGAAAGCCCCTGCTTTACACAGGCACACGGAGGACTGCACACTTGCATTCCCTGGGACCTCTGTCCAGCTGCCCCTCGGATATCCCTGCAGGAGTACGTTTGAAAGCATCATCTCTCCAAAACAGCCATCGTGGCTACACAGAGATGGAGAAAGCAAGAAAATTATACCTCCAGCTGTAGGGCTCTAGAGCCTACACACACTGAGGTAGGGGAGAGGTGAGTGTTTTCCATCATGAACTCTTCAGTGGAGAGCTTAAACAACGTGCTCCTACTCCCTCCACTGCTCCACTTCTAACCCCTCAGTCCCCGGAGGTGGCGCAGCTCAGGGCAAGGAAAGGAAACTTTCAATGGACTCCCACTCCTCTTCCCCTTCCCTTTCTGTCTGCCTTCCACTCCCAGGAAGGAGCTACAAACACACATGCTCAGATATATATAAATGCCTATGGGTTCATATGCTTGTGTCTGAAACAGTCCAGAAAGACCTCCAGAACAGTGAAGTTCAGCTAATTTTTAACTGCTCATATTGATTGGATTCAATCTTGTGACTTCCACAGTAGCTCAGTCATCTCAGATACATAAGCCTGGTACTTGTAGTGCCTCACATGTGTCGTGATGTCTCATTCTTCCTCTACTAATTTAGTCAGTCTAAAAAAAGACTATGTTTTACTGCATGCTCTTAAGGATTTAGACCATTCTCCTACTTTGTCTCAACCAGAGCCCCTTACTATAAATATTTGAAGGTTCAGAAAGGTTTCTAAAGGGAACCTGCTTCTAAGACGACAACAAATGGAAAAAGCAGACTTTCTTCAGACTTTGGTTCAGCAACATCAAAGCTATTCAGCCAAGAATTTTGAACATTTCAAGACTGCTCCGAAGGAAAATTAAGTAATGGGAAATATTTTCTCATTCAGGAGCTCAGGGCCAATTTCTTCAAAAGTATTTAATTTACTAAGTAGTAAAAGTACAAAATGAGTCCATGGGATTTTCA